GGCTGCTCATTAGAATCACCTGGGGGCTATTTTTTTTTTTTTTTTTTAAGTCCACCAATTCCTCTTCTCCATTTTTACTTGATTGGTATAGATTGAGGATCGTGCATCAGCAAGCAGTTTTGAAATTGTTTCCAAGTGATTCTTACCTGCAGCCTGGGTAAGAAGTGGCAGGCTTCCTGGATAGTCATTAAGTGAACTGTGGTAAGCACTGACGGAGCAGGATTACCTGCCCTGCTAGGTACCCGAACTACATTTACTTGCTCACAAGTGATTTTTTAAAATGTATGCTCGCATCCCTGCCTTGCTTATTGAAAGTTCCTAATGTTTTTGGTATTTCTTTAATCTTTTTATGTTTTTAACTTTTAAATAAAAGAAGAAAATAAAAGAACTACCAAACAAGATGTAAGTTCATACTGTAAAATTACATAGAGTAATTTTTCAAATTACTAAATTACAAAGATTAGTCCCCACCTCTTTGAAGGAGAAAAAAAGGGAAAGGATAATCCTTTAGTAAGGCTGGGGTGTTTAGGTTTTTTCCAGCATTTTGCAGTTACAAACAGTCTGCAATGAATAACCTTGTGCGTTTGTTATCTTTGTACTGTGAGAGAGGTATGTGTATCTTTAGGGTACTTTTTAGAAGCTAGTTTGCTCTGTCAGAAGATAGTACATTTGTAGTTTTGTTAGGTTATTGCCAAATTCCTCTCCTGAAAGTTGTAGCAATTTGTGTGCCCATCAGTAGTAGACAGCCTGTTTCCCTATAGCCTCCCTTTTCTGAAATATGTCATGCTTTAATGTTTCTGTTCTTGGCGTTCTTTGGTTTTAATTTGCATTTATCTGTGGGTTTTAACATCTCATATGTCTTTTGTAAATTGTTTGTTTCATTGTTTTATTTTGTTTTGTTTTTTCTCCCTTCATGTTTAAGTAGTTCTTGATATCAACATTTTCAAAGTATGGTCTGTGGACTCCTGAAGGTCCCTGAAAACATTTTCGGTTCAAGGGCAAAACTCTTTTTATACATTATGGAGGTATTTCTTATCTTCTTTGCTGTGTTATTATTTGAGCGAAGGTTTAGAAACAATGGTGGTTAAAACTGTGTCAAGGCAGTGGCACCAAACCTTATAATAGTCATTGTCGCACACTCATAGATTAAAAGAACAGTTTCAGTTTTATTTAAGAATGACTGGAAACAGAACTACGTCTTAATACTTTCCAACCCTTGAGTACACACGTTTTCAGTAGTCTAGGTATGCAAATAGGAAGTGTGCCTAAAGTAGTTCTGCCTTGTACTAAAGTACTTGTGTGATTATTTGAATTGCAGCTGTGTATTGAGTGGGGGATGGAAGGCCAACATCACTTTTACTTGAAGGAACAATTGTTTACTTGAAGGAATGTATGGTTATCCAAACTTGAATATTTGACAAACATATTTCTCCAAAATGAATGAATACCTTGCTTCAAGGAGAACAATTCTTGATAGTATTTGTTGCTAACAATGAAAACTGATTTTTAAAACAAAAATTAAAATTTGAAAAATTTTTATCTGCCACCATAAGCTCAATAGCTTTTCAGTACTTAAAGACTCTTTTGATAATCTTGATAGTGATATTAACACGTGATTTAAAAATACACCGTGTGGTGAAATGTGGCATCGTTTGGACGATTTGCCTAACTCAGGGAACCAGTATTTTCCAAAAGACTAAGGCATGCTATAATAAAATTTTGCATGGATGAAATATTCAGAGTGTAAAATAGGCCAATAGATATTCATGCAATAATAGAGACAGTTGATTGATATGGTTTCAAACTGTACATTGTTACTCTCCTTTAGGAAATGTATTAAGTTTTTGGCATAAAATCAAGCATGAATTTTCATAATTACCTTAATAGGCTACTAAAATAATAATTCTTTTTCAATGACTGTACGTGTGTATGAAAAGCTGGATTTTCTGTGTGTACTTTAACAAAAAGCGACATACTACGGGGTTTGTTACAGTGCATTTTCACAAACTTTGTTTTCTCTTCAGCGGTGAAACTCAAATTTTGTCAAAGCCTTTTTCAGGATCTTGGAGATAATCATATAATTGTTTTCTTTAGATTTATTAATAGGATGTATTATGCCAGTGGATTTCCTAATACACTAATCTTGCATTCCTGGAATTAATCCCTTTATCATGGAGTATTTATGTAGTGTTGGCCGTTGTTTGCTTATTTTTATTTTGTATTTTGCACTGACAACGAATAAATTATGTTGAGCTGTAATATTGGGGGGTTGGTCATTATCATGGACAGTCATCAAGTTTCAGTGTCAGTATTATACTTGCTTCATAAAAAGAATTTAGAAGCTTTCCTTGGTATCAGTGTTCTGAAACAATACATTGTATTGAGGCTATCTGGATATTGCATGTTTTGGCACAGTTCCCTTGGGAAATCATTTGTACATGGTGCCTTTTTGTGGGATAATTCCCTCATAAGTTTTGCTGCTTTTTTCTCCAGAAATTGGGCCATTTAAGCTTTTTATTTATAATAGGGTCAATTTTGGCAATCTGTATTTCCTTAAGGAATTACGTTTCATTTAGGTTTTTAAATTTCTTTGAATTTGTTCGGTAGTCTCTTAACGTTTTCTAATGCCGTACTAATAGTCATTGGTCTCTAATCATTTATTTTTAAAGTTTTAGTCCTGCTTTTAATTTGAAATTTGGATATTGTCTTTGAATTATGATGAGTGTATGGTTTTGTGTACAGTAGTCCCCTCTGAGCCGTGGGGCACATGTTCCCCCAGTCGATGCCCGAATTCACGGATAGCGTCAAACCCAATTTTGCTGTTAATTGGAGCACATTTCTGTTCCTGTCTTCCACTCAGAAGTTTAATGCCTTTTCCATTTTAAATAAGCACTTATCATGCACTGTGGCTAAACCCTTGCAATTTTAGGTGTGATAGCAAAACTAGCACAAATTTCGTTTTCCTTCACGGCTTCACTAATAGAAGATTCCTTCTCCTTGTAGATCTTAGTAACCTCAGCATATGATTTTTTTTTCCCTGTATTAAGTGGAGGACTTTCACCTTCTCTCGAAGGAAACACTTTACAGCTTTTCTTTGGCATATCTGAATTGCCAGCATCACTACTACTGCACTTCGGGGTCATGATTAAGTAAAATGAGGGTGACTTGAACACAAGCATTGTGTTACCTCTCCACAGTTGATCTCATAACTGTGGCAGCTACTGAGTGACTAATGGACGGGGAGCCCCTATGTCATGGAGACCCTGGACAAAGGGATGATTCACGTCTTAGATGGGATGGAGCAGGATGGCAAAAGATTTCATCACACTACTCATAACGGTGTGCAGTTTAAATCTTACCAATTGTTTATTTCTGAAGTTTTCCATTTAAAATTTTCAGACTGCAGTTGACCTGAGGTAACTGAAAGCAAAGAACATGAAACTGACGATAAGGAAGAACCACTGTAGTTGGTCTATTTTTGTTGTATTAAATTTGGGGAGGATATATAGAGAAACAGATTCAGATGGTTGCCATTGTCTTTAGTTACTCAGAATTTTCTCTGTTGGTTATTATTTTCTTTTTTCATATTAACTTCTTTTTGTATTTGCTTTATTGCCATATAATTCACATACCATACCATTAAAGTATGCAATTCATTGTTTTTTAGCATGTTCCGAGTTGTGTAACCATCACCAGAGTCCATTTTAAAACATTTTCATTGCTGGGGGGCAGGGGATGAAACTCCCATTGACCTATCACCCCCCCCAATCCCTGTAACCCTAGACAACCACCAATCAAGTTTTTGTCTTTATAGATTTGCCTTTCTGAGCATTTTATATAAATGGAATAATAGAATCTATTAACCTTTGTGACTGGTTTCTTCACCTTAGCATGACATTTTCAAGGTTCATTCATGTTACACTATGTATGAGTACTTCTTTCCTTTTTACACACAATGTTTCATTGTGTGGATATATACCATGTTTTATCCATGCATCAGTTGATGGACACTTGGAATAGTTGGTATTCATTCTTAAGAAGAGTTTTTTTTTCTTTTGCTACTTCTGTAGGCTTTGGGATGGGAGGAAAGGTGATGTATGCACTATTCGTGGTGAACATAGTCTCCTTTGTTGCGGACTGGAAAGCTGAGGGAGGAAGTTGTTACCTTTGTCCTCAGGCAGTTTGAATTGTACAGTTTTATACAAAAACATGTATTTCTGGTTTAATGATTCTATAGTCTTAAAAAATGTATGATGTCTCGTTAGACTACTCTAAGTACTTCATATCCTTTCTAGGGAATAGTGATTTCTTTGAGATTAGGTGATTTTTTAACAACCTGAAGATATTTTGAATTTTTTATATACTGGCCTGTCCTGAGTCATTGTGGTAAAGATTCTTGGCTCTTTCAGAAGTGTGTGGCTTATTGTAATTCAGTTTTTAAAAAAGGTAATTTTACAATGTTTGTTCAATATGGCTAATGTAAACCTTCTTTTGTTTAATGTGCACAAGACATTATATTCTACAGAGATTTTTAGAAGTTTGCAGAAGTTGTTGAAATAACTAATACTTGATTTTCAAAGCAATTGATATTTTATGTAAAATGGCAAATGTTATATATGCTGGGTAAGTCTGTCATCTTCTAAATCAGTTGCCAGGATGAATGATGATCACACTGGGCACTGCCAATCTCCTCAGGACCTCTTCTGATCATCAAAAATGAAGTGAGGATTTCAGTGTTAATACGTTTTAAATGTCTTTTGGTTTTTAAAGAACATGTATATAGTTGGCGATTTTTAATATTCTGTTACGTCCAGTGGTTTTTAGAGCATACATTCTTGTACAAGGATAATTCTAACAGGTAACCATGCAGGTGAGTGTTTATCAATCACAAATGTATTAAGACTGTAATTTTTGTATTTCGACCTCTCTGGATTGTAGAGTATGAGATAACAATTATTTTTATCCTTAATAACAATATTTTACTATAATTTTTACTTTAGGCTCCTGGATTTGGATTTGGCATTGCAATATCTGGTGGACGAGATAATCCTCATTTTCAGAGTGGGGAAACGTCAATCGTGATTTCAGATGTGCTGAAAGGAGGACCAGCTGAAGGACAGCTACAGTAAGAGTGCTGCTTATCGTGGGCACCTGTGTGACAAGCAGTGTTCCTGTCCTCGGGCACTGGCCTACTGTCTTACACTGTCTTAGTGTTTTGCCATATTCATACACCACCTGTGCCATGGTTCATATATTTTTTCCTTAAATTAACATATGTTTACTTAAGAGAGAAACTGGCCAGGTGTGGTGGCTCACTCCTTGTAATCCTAGCACTTTGGGAGGCTGAGGCAGGGGGATCACTTGAGACTGGGAGTTCGAGACCAGCCTGGACAATGTAGTGAGATCCCCATCTCTACAAAAGAAGTTTAAAAATCAACTGGGCATGGTGGCATGTGCTTGCAGTCCCAGCTACTTGGGAGGCTGAGGCAGGAGAATCCCTTGAACTTAGGAGTCTGAGGCTGCAGTGAGCCATGATTGCACCGCTGTACTCCAGCCCAGGTGACAGAGCAAGACCCTGTCTCCAAAGAAAATAAAGGAAGCTTTATCCCTATTAAAATTGGAAAGCTAGTATCACTCACTTTAAATAGAATGTGTAACTGTAAAAATAGTGAAAAAGAAAATTTATAACTCCATTTTGGATAGAATCTAGCCTTCAGAAGCCTCTCTTCCCAAGTCTTGCACCCTTTTTGTTCCATATGAAGATTAGTTAGCTAAAGAAAAACACAAAATATACTAGCAAAATAATGGCACTACAATTAGAAGTATTAAAAGAAAATTAAAAGATGAAAAACTGAAAAGGTAAAAGGAAATAGGATTTCCAGCTCTATGACTTAGTATCATTTAATGCCCTGTAACTGTACTACCGAGAATCATTTCATGGATGTGATATCTGTTCAGTCTTCTGGGGAAATACTTTGTTAATGACTTAAAAAAATTAAGGACCTGTGGTTAATTACTTCTTAAACATTCTGTGGAGAAGCCTGAAAGTAAGTCAGTTGACATTATTTTATGGATCTGAAGAGAAATTGATTAATTGGCTCATAATTAGAATACATTTTAGAAGTACCTATCTTGAAAATATCATCATAAACTTACCAGAATGTTTTTCTCTAACGTGTTATTTTGTGCCCTTTTCCCCTTAGGGAAAATGACCGAGTGGCAATGGTTAACGGAGTTTCAATGGATAATGTTGAACATGCTTTTGCTGTTCAGCAACTAAGGAAAAGTGGGAAAAATGCAAAAATTGTAAGTATCTTTTATCTTTAATTTAGTAAAGGTACCCCTTTACATTTCTGGTATTTGAATTTATCCTTCCCATTTAAGAAAAGGAAAACAAACGATAGTTCCAGCGTTAGTTGTTTACACTGAAGAGTGTTTCTTTTAACAATAGTGTGGTTTGTCACTGATATGTGTATTTTCTCAGTTTAGATACCAGGAATTTTTTCAGTTGAAAAAGGAAAGGGGACAGTTGAATAGTTAGCTCTTTTAGGCTTAATGTTTCCTCCTCTTTTCCTCCTCTACAGTCATGTGCTGCATGACAATGTTTTGGTCAACAACAGCCGCATATTTGACAGTGGTTTCATAAGATTATAGTACTGTATTTACCTTTACCGTGTTTAGATACACGCATAGTTACCATTGTGTTACAGTTGCCTACAGTATTCAGTACAGGAACATGCTGTATAGGCTCGTAACCGAGGAGCAATAGGCTATGCCATGTAGCCTAGATGTGTAGTAGGCTATACCATCTTGGTTTGGGAAGATACGTTCTGTGATGTTCGCACAAAGACAGAATTGCCTAACAATTCACTTCTCGTAGTATATCCCCAATGTTAAGTGACGCATGACGGTACTGAAGTTAGATTGGATCTTGGCATGTGTCAGTTTGAAATAGATGGCCCTATTTTCCGGTACAAGATGAGTTTACCTGGCAAGCTTTGCATTGTCCCTTGAACACATGTATGTCAGCAGCTACTTTCTTTATTACTCTGATAGTTTGAGGAGAGGGAAAGTCTAAGATTGTTTTTTGTAGAGTTGTTCAGGGTGCATTTAATGTTACTGTTTTACTGTATAGCTAGAGTCTTTGTTTCATATTTCTCTGAGAAGTCTACTTTTTATTAAGGGAAAAGAAATTTAGTTAACTCTTGATAACTGGCCTCAAATCACAGTTAAAACTTTGTAAATGTAACACAGTAGATTTAATGTAAAAGTTTTATTTATTTTCTTTTTTTGAGACAGTCTCACTCTGTCACCCAGGCTGGAGTGCAGTGGTGTGATCTCAACTCACTGCAACCTGCACCTCCCAGGTTCAAGCACTTCTTGTGCCTCAGCCTCCCAAGTAGCTGGGAACACAGATGCGTGCCACCATGCCCGCCTGGCTAGTTTTTGTATTTTTAGTAGAGATAGGGTTTTGCCATGTTGGCCAGGCTGGTCTTGAACTCTGACTTCAAGTGATCCGGCTGCTTTGGCCTTCCAAAGTGCTGGGATTACAGGCATCAGCCACCACGCCCATCCAAAAGTCTTACTTAAAATGATACACTTTTAGGAACACAGGAGCCACTTCACCCACTTTGCTCCTCCGCTGTTTTTATCCCATCCTGCCTCTGAAAGGACTAATGAAGGTAGCCTTGAAGCCTCAGCTGAGGTATACAAAGCTGAAGAGTCTGGGTGGCTGGGTGGTATGCCCTGCTTTGTCCGTTGAGAACCTTTCTATCTCCCAGCAGATGCTCAGAACCACAGCAGACCTGATGGAAAGGATAAGGGTGGGTAAAGAGAGGTCTGCTTTTGAGTTTTGGTGTCTGGGAGTGGTGGTAAAAGCTGAAAAGGGTATTCCCTGAGACTGCATCCAGCAGTTGCTCGGCCCTCCTGCCCTGTGTAGGCTGCCTTGCTGTGTGGCTTGTTTCACACCAGCATCATTGCTGGTGAGATGAGAGTTCTCTCATACTGCAGTAGGACCACTGTTTGGTTATGGCGTTGTTCCAGAGAACAGACATCTTTTATTTTGTATGTTTTCACAATCTCATTGTAGTCCATAGTTTTACAACTGTAATGTTACTTTAAAATTGCAGTTAATTAACAGACTGCCTAGTGGATGATAAAGTTTTTAAACAGTTTTTATAACAAGAGGTTGCACTGTTTACAGAAGCAAATTGCTATTTGTTTGTTTTAAAACAGCAAATTGCTAATAGTTTTTTTGGGTGTGATCAGTTGAGTGAGCTTCAGTGTCTTGCTTTAGCTGCTGATCCTGAGCACCATCCTTATTCTGCATAGTGTTCTTCAGGTGGCTTGCTGCACATTCTAAGGCCAGCACCTCGGGAAACTTGTTTTTTATCCCTTGTATCAGGTGTGGTGAGTTTCATCCATACTTTCAACGTTTTAAGCCCTCCATTCCTGTGTAAGCTTGAGCTGTTTTGTTTTTCCATGCAAAATATTTGGCACACATACACTACATTGATAATACATCCAAGAAAGTTGTATTGCTATACTCCAGACTTTTCCACATAGAGATGAATATTATAAGTAGGTCTGAAATCAATAATGTATTTGAAATAGCACATTTTTGGCCCAGCATGTAAGGAGAAGGATTTAGGGGCTGTTAAAAGCTGTGTCAGTTGGAAAGGTGTTTTTTACTCTGTGGTTAAAGGCTGTAGGGGCTTTGGGCAGAAAGGTGTTTTAATCAGCAAAAAGCAGTTGTTGATTTCTGCATTTTGACAGTTTCAGTCATGTCATTAATTTAAAGCTTTCATTGCCGTATGACTCTTAGAATAAAATGCCTGTGTCTGAGAGTGTGGCCTTTCATTATAAGATGTCTTTTTTTAACCTCATCCCTGGACATAACCAGAGCGTCAGAAACACTCAGGTCATGATATATGTGATGTTTATTTCCCCCAGTTCTGAACTCTACCAGATCCTCTTCCCTGCTCTCCGTTCTACTGATCTCTGTCTTCTCTCCTGTGCTCCTCCATTTTCTCTCCTCAGACTATCAGAGTAATAAGGAAAATAGCTGCTGACATACATGTGTTCAAGGGGCAACGCAAAACATGCCCAGTAAACTCATCTTATACCAGAAAATAGGACCATATATTTCAAACTGACATATGACAAGATCCAATCTAACTTCAGTACAGTCATGCGTCACTTAACATTGGGGATATATTATATATCCCCAGTATCCTGTATAATTTTACTAAAATTCTGAACATAGTAAAAAAGCGTTATAAAGTGGATGAAGAGGCAAAAACACCTTCCTAGCGAAAACCTCTGTGAGCATTTCAGAACAGTTCTGTGTTGCTTCATGACAGGGATAGGTCTTGAGAAGTGCGTCATTACATGATTTCATCCTTGTGTGACCATCAGAGTGTATTTACACAAACCTGAAAAGGCATAGCCTCCGACACACCTAGGCTATATGGTTTAGTGTATTGCTCTCCGGCTGTAAATCCCATACAGCATGTGACTGTGCTCAATACTGTAGGCAGCTGTAAAACAATGGTATGTGTCTGTCTAAACATGGAAAAAGTACACTAAAAATATATATAACAGATTAAAAAAATTATATGCCTGTTTAGTGCACTTACTATGAATGGAGCTTGCGGAACTGGAAGTTGCTCTGAGTCAGCGAGTGAGTGGTGAGTGAATGTGAAGTCCTAGGACATTACTGTACACTACTGTAGACTTTGTAAACACTGTACATTTAGGCTGCACTAAATTTATTTTTAATGTTTTAATATTTTTAATGTATTTAATATTTTGTAAATTTATAAAATTTATTTAAAAGTCTTCTTTCTTCAATAATAAACCTTAGCTTACTGAAACTTTTTTAACCTATATCTTTCTAACTTTTTGACTCTCGCAATAACACTTAAAACACAAACACATTGTACAGCAGTACAAAAATGTTTTTTTCTATTTAAAATTTTTTTCTTTTTGTTTGTGTTTTTTTAAGACACGGTTTCATTCTGTCACCCAGGCTAGAGTGCAATGGCGTGATCTTGGCTCACTGCAACCTCCACCTCCCTGGTGCAAGTGATTCTCGTGCCTCAGCCGTGGGATTACAGGCACCCACTACCACGCCCATATTTTGTATTTTCAGTAGAGACAGGGTTTTGTCGTGTTGGCCAGGCTGGTGTTGAACTCCTGGCCTCAAGTGATCTGCCTGCCTCGGCCTCCCAAAGTTCTGGGATTACAGGCGTGAGCCACTGCACCTGGCCTAAAATTTTCTATTTTTCAGTTTTTAAACTTTTAGTAAAATGTAAGACACAAGCACACACATTAGCCTAGGGCTACCCAGGATCGGGGTCACCAGTGTCACTGTCTTCTACCTCCACAGATTGTCCTAGTGGGAAGTCTTCAGGGGCAGTAACATGCATGGAGCCATCATCTCCTATGACAACAGTGCCTTCTTGTGGAACACCTGAAGGACCTGCCTGGGGCTGTTTTCCCAGTTAACATTTAAAAAAAAAAAAAAAATAAGTAGAGGGAGTACACTCTGGAATAATGATATAAAGTTTAGCATAGTAAATACATAAACCACTAACATAGTCATTATCAAGTATTGTATTCTGTACATATTATATCTGCTGCACTTTTATTCCACTGGCAGCATAGTAGGTTTGTTTACACCAGCATCACGACAAACAGCACTGCAGTGCACCCATGACATTATGACCCTGTGGCGTCACTAGGTGATAGGAGATTTTCAGCTCCGTTGTAGTATTATGGGGCCTCTGCCGATGTGTTGTCCGTTGTTTCACATGGTGCATGACTGTGTATGTATCCACATGGCCATGCAGCATTTCACTCTGCATATATATTTATCGAACTCACTCATTCACAGGCATTTCAGTGTCCAGTCCACGAGTTTTTTAAAATTCGGCTGCGAAAATCGTATTGCTACCTACTTGCTTAGTTAATTTTTAGAATAATTTTCTAAGAGTGGCTTTTCAGAGTCAAAGGGCCTGAATGACTCTTGATGTATGTATTGCCAGTTTGTCCTTCTTCAGAAAATCAGTAGGCTATCGAGAGTTCAGTTTTCAACACGTCATAAATCTTGGCCTAGCCGGGCGCGGTGGCTCAAGCCTGTAATCCCAGCACTTTGGGAGGCTGAGACGGGCGGATCACGAGGTCAGGAGATCGAGACCATCCTGGTAACACGGTGAAACCCCGTCTCTACTAAAAATACAAAAAAACTAGCCGGGTGCGGTGGCGGGCGCCTGTAGTCCCAGCTACTCGGGAGGCTGAGGCAGGAGAACGGCGTGAACCCGGGAGGCGGAGCTTGCAGTGAGCCGAGATCCGGCCATTGCACTCCAGCCTGGGCGGCAGAGCGAGACTCCGTCTCAAAAAAAAAAAAAAAAAATCTTGGCCTGATAAAAAAGTGTTGGAAATGAAACATTTAAAATCACAAGTGGATTTGATCCTCTCATGGTGTGTTTACTACGCATTTGTTTTTTCATTTACCTGTTCATGTCCATTGCATTTATATGGTGGTGATGGTCATACTAGGGTGTTTTATGTAGTCAGATTATTAACCTTTTGTCGTACGTACCTCATGTGTTGTTATCCTCTTTGCTTTTGTGACTGTTTGTAAGTTGTTTGTGTTTGTTGTTTTGTATCATTTTGTTACAACATTGAAATGTTTTCATTTTTATTTTGTCATGTCTGTCAGCCTTTCGCTTTATTGGTTCTGCCTTGGTGTCATGCTTCCAAAAGCCTTTTAATTGCAAAAGCCTCTCTCTTGTATTTTATTCTAGTACTTGTATGGCATCATTTTGTTTTATTTTACATTTGAGACTTCAGTTAAGCTAAACTGTTTTGAAGTACGCATTTTTTTCCTAAAAATTTTGATTCCAAATTTTTCATAATGTTAAAATCAAGCATAGTTGTTACACCTACTAATTATTATTCATGTTTATAACTGTTAACTCATAAGTAGAGAATCACAGTAGGACTGGATACCTTTCAATAAGTAAAGCACCTACTAGGTGCAAGCATTGCATTACATGTACAGTTAAATGCATGGGAAGGAACTTCTCAAAGAACTCGAATCTTAGTGGGCTGGATGGGTGTACATACTGATAACCGTATAATGCATGTCATCTCAGGTTAATAGGTCAGGTACAGTAGAATCCCAAAGAGGTGGCACTCTTACAGGAATGATAGGGAAAGCCTTGAGTGCTCATCTGCTCAACTTCGTTTTTGTTTATTACTAGGGAGGAACTGAACATTAAAATACCAATACCAGGTATTGCTTCCAATATAACATGTTGGAAATTAAGTAGACGTGAGATGTAAAAGCAGACAGCTAGCATTAGGAATGCTTTACAGAAAACATTAACTGATAGGGACTTCAGCTGTGGGTTGCTCCAAGATGAGAAGGGCAGCTTTTCTCTTTCAGTTCATAACAGGGCATTGGCTGTCCTCCTCTTCACATGCTGGCCTCTGCTGCTTCTCATCCTTGAGCTTCAGCGTTGTTTCCTCAGAATGGCCCTCTGCTTAGGCCCTCGTCCTGATTCTGAACCAGCACCTGATAATAATAATAATAGTAGTAATAGTAATAGGAAGCAGCGGTATTAAGTGTAGAGCAGCCCTTTGAAGAAGTTTAGCCATATAGAGAAGAGATAAGGTGATAACATGCAGGTGAATAGCAAGACAGAGAAATAGAAGATGAATTGGGGGAGCTTAGTAGGTAGAGGACAGATTTTAGGTAAATAAAGCGATTGAAGTTTCAGGTAAACTGGAGTATGGTAATTGATGAAGAAAAAATCTTAGAGGTGGGTAGGGATGAGAATGAGAGCTCAAATACAAGGGTTTCATTCATCCAGGAAGAAGATCGCCTTGGTCTTTGAGGCCAAAAGGAAGGAGGACCAAATAAACGAGATACTGAAAAAATTTAGGAGGGCAGGGGGAGTAAAATGGCACTGCTAGCCTTAAAGCAGGCTGAGTGGCTGGGATCTCGAAGAATGGTTGTAGAATATCTACATTAGCAAATTCCATAGAGAGGCAGCAAGATGTAGATGAAAGGATTGCTGAACAAGAGCAAGACTTCTGTAAAATGAATTTACAGAGGGCCTAATCAGCAAAGTGTGGAAGTGAAGGTAATAATAGGACTGGAGTTTGTCATGGCAGCTGATTGAGGGGTCAAGAGAAAGTCATTTAAATACAGCAGCAGGATGTCTCATGCCAACTTGGGGGAAACGTGAGTGAAACCAGGACGGAACTGATGAACTGAAAATAAGAGAGGATGAAGGAATTGGAAATAAGATAGTGAAAAGTTGCAGTAGCTCACGGTGTCTGACATAGAAGACAAGGAGTGATACACAAGAAGATCCTGCGGAACTACAGTGAGGCCAAGTGTATACTATTGTAGGAAGGCAAAGTGTAGTCTACAGATTACAGAGCCACTCAGTCAGCAGGTGTGATACATGTAGATCTTCAGCTTGCAGAGAATGAAGGAAATAAGTGGACAGGCAATACAGAGCCAGTTACCACAGTCATTGAGAAAAGAATGCCAGAGGGAAGAATTTGCACCTAGACCGGAAGTACACATTGGAGAGATCCAGAGACTGAAAGCAGTTTGTGTTGGTAAAGTACAGCTGAGTTAATTAGCTCCAACATATTATTGAATGTTAGTGTGGCTGTAGAATAAATTCATCTCTTAGAAGTCTGGGGCAATGGTGGGCTTTGATACTGATACAGTCTAAAATGTTTAAGGAAGCAAGTTGGACTTGGAAGTTTGCTGTGGTTTTGGTAGCACCTAGAGTATATTTGGTGGCATTAGAGTACAGTGCTGTCCTTTTTATTCAAACCACCCAACAGTTGTTAGTTTCCCTGTAAGCTTGTGATTATTACACCAGGAAGATCTTTCTGTGTGAAGTAAATAAAGAGATTTTTAGGCCCACCCTTTCTTATTTGTGCTTAACTAGATCTGTTCATCAGGAGAGCAGAAAACACAGCCTTTATAGAAATGTATTCCTTAGCAATTTGTTGTAGTGGTTTGTGTATTGTTTCTTGCTGGTTCATAATACGGGGTGAGATGTGTAATGTTTCTTTCTCTTTGGAACTGAACATACATATATGAGAATCAGTCAACTTATTTTTTAACCTTTTTAACTTGCAGACAATTAGAAGGAAGAAGAAAGTTCAAATACCAGTAAGTCGTCCTGATCCTGAACCAGTATCTGATAATGAAGAAGATAGTTACGATGAGGAAATACATGATCCAAGAAGTGGCCGGAGTGGTGTGGTTAACAGAAGGAGTGAGAAGATTTGGCCGAGGGATAGAAGTGCAAGTAGAGAGAGGAGCTTGTCTCCGCGGTCAGACAGGCGGTCAGTGGCTTCCAGCCAGCCCGCTAAACCCACCAAAGTCACACTGGTGAAATCCCGGAAGAATGAAGGTAGTTTCTGCCAACTCTTGCTGTTATTTTCACATGAAACTTTAAAACTAGTTTTAGTGAGAAGTACAGTTGCTGTCTTTTCATGTCTTTGCTTTGTTGTCTTTGTGTTTGTGTTCTATCACTGTAAGTCAAGTCCTGTTATGGCAGGCTTCAGGGACTGTTCATTTTCCCTGTTGGAACAGATAGCACTTCAAGTGAATGGTCCAGGGGTTGGCTTTCAGATTTGTCCTGATGAGAATAACCAAGTACAAATTATGCTAACAAGAAATGTCACACCATCACCAAATGGAAATTCAGTGTTTTTCTTAACTGTTAGTAATGTAATCATGGAGAGAAATCTTGGGGGAGGGTGGGGGTAGGGGTGGTGGTGGTGGTGGTGATGATGCTGTTGTTGTTGTTGTTGTTACAAGGTCTGGCTCTGTCACCCAGGCTGGAGTGCAGTGCCACAATCTCAGCTCCCTGCTACCTCTGCCTTCTGGGCTCAAGCGTCCTCCCACTTCAGCCTCCCTGGTAGCTGGAACTACAAGTACATGCCACCATGTCCAGCTAATTTTTTCATTTTGGGTAGAGGCAGGGTTTTGCCATGTTGCCCAAGCTGGTCAGCTCAAGCAATTCACCTGCCTCAGCCTCCCACTGTGCTGGAATTACAGGAGGGAAGCCATTGTGCCCTGCTGTGACTTCTTCCCCCTCACTCCAGACTGTTTTTTTAAATGGAGGAATTTAAGGAAAGGAACCCCTTGTAGGGCATTTCTCTATAATGCAGTATTTCTTTGAAGTTTTTGAAACTGAAACTCAGCTGCCTTCCCTCATACCTCATTAAATTTGATAAAAAATGGATCTGACTGTGGCTTCCTCCTCCTGTGGGCATGCATGACTGATCATTTTGATATATAGGGGTGTTACAGTTGGAATATTATCAAGGCTTACTTTGATCTGCTTTACCACTTGGCATATCTCCTAGGTGGTACTCCCTACCCCTACTCTAGAGCAGACTTCTCAGTGAAGTCTCAGTGAAGTTGTCAACATTTGCTGTTTCTACTTCATTTCACCACTTACCTCTCAACCCTCTCTGGTCTGGTATCTTCTGCTCTGCCCCCAAAAATGTTCACACTAAATCTAGTGGAAGTTTTTCAGTCTCTAGCTTGCTTGCCTTACAGTATCATTTCACATGGTTAACCACTCCTTATTTTTAAAAATAATGTCTTCTTTTGGTAATACTGCATCTCTCTGGTTTTTTCCCCCCCACCTTTCTGTATCTTTTGCAGGCTCATTCTCCTCACCCTGCCCTTCATAATGTTCTGTCAGTTTCTCTCCTAGAATCTTTTTTTCCACTTAAGGTAATTTTTTTTTTCTTTTCCTCAGGTTGAATAACAATTTAGGCAATCTCATCTGCTCCCCTGCTTCCAGTCACTGCTGGTGGCAGAACCTCTGTCTCCAGCCCAAATCTGTACACTCTTGTGTTTCAGCTGTTAGGCATATTCACTTAGATGTTCCTGTAGGTCCCTGAAACACAGCACATCTTAAATGAAACACATCTCCCTCTTAAAATGTTTCTTTGTATTTCTCATATTCAGTTGAACGTGTTCCTATTGATCCAGTTTCTCAGGCCATTCCCAGATGACATGGTAGTTACCCTTGACATCTCTTTTTTTCCCATGCATGATGAATGTCGTCACTCCTGAATACCACTCTTATCCATCCCACTCTTTCTCCACTGCCTCCACCCTTTTTCAGGCCACTGTCATCTCTTACGTAGACTCATTTGGTCTCGTAGGTTGTCTCTTGGATCCCTTTAAGTTGATTCTGCAGATTTCTTCATAGATCCTCTGTGATACTTCTGTCTTACTCTTTTTCCCCTTTCTTCATTAATTCTCAGTCTCTGCTACACTAGACTTATGACTTCATTAGGTCCACCAGGTTTTTTTCTTCGTAACTTGGGTGCATTTGTTTTGAACTGTTCAGCCCTCACTCACCCCATGCATCCCCTCCCACGCAAACATCTTCAGGTTTAGGTCTTTCTTAGGTAAAGTTTTAACTTTAGTATTTCTTCCTCAGGGAGGCCTTCTCCTTCCCCAGTAGGTGCAGAACCCTTGTGTTTCTGCTCTCTGAACTCATCGCATTTGGAATTGCCTTGCTGACATCCTTTTTGTCACTGACTCCTGCCGGAGTGCAGGAACTATCTCCTTTGCTGCTTTCTCCCTAATGCCTGGTACCTAGTTGATATATACCCCAAGAAATATTTAGAATGAACGAACAAACTAATATACAAGGAATATTTTGGGATCACCTGTGTAATGGTCATTTATATGTGTTTAATCTTAAAGAACAGTCTTTTAACCAATACCGTATCCTTCTGTGATGTAATGACCATATGGATGACTGCCTCATTCCTTGCCCAGATCTCCTAAAAGGCTATTTTCTTTACCCTGATTCTATTTCTGGCTGTGAGTACTCTTTGTATATTTGTCTTAAGTTAAACTGCAACTCTGATGTAAATTTTTTTTTTTTTTTTTTTTTTTTTTTTTTTGAGATGGAGTCTCACTCTGTCTCTCAGGCTTAGAGTGCAGTGGTACAATCTCAGTTCACTGCACCCTCCGCCTCCCAGGTTTAAGCAGTTCTCCTCCCTCAGCCTCCCAAGTAGCTGGGATTACAGGTGTGCACCACCATGCCCGGCTAATTTTTTGTATTTTTAATAAAGACAGGGTTTCACCCTGCTAGCCAGGCTGGTCTCGAACTCCTGACCTTGTGATCTGCCCACCTTGGCCTCCCAAAGTGCTGGGATTACAGACGTGAGTCACCACGCCCAGCCTACTGTTACGTAATTTTTAGACATTTCAGTAGTAAGTCTGTTAATTTATCCCATGTTAAAACAATTTTCTGTTTTCCATCTTGGTTTTTGGTTTTGTTTTTAATGCAGTAAGACTCTCCTCACAGAACCAGGGGCAGTCCTTTTACTACTGACATTATACTGATGGTTGTAGTCATTGTTCTTGTTTTTCTTAAAATATATTTTTCTGCAGCTGTTGCAGAAACCTGGGCAGTTCTCTAGACTCTGCTAGTAATTTACTCAACTTCCAACATTCCTTACCCACAGACAGAATCAGTGTCCTCACTCTTGGATACTTGGTTGGTTGTTTAAAGGAAAGGACTGGTATAATAACTCCTGCCCACATCTGCCTAGCTGGTTGTAAGCCTTTGCACTCATATTTAGTACATGCTAGTACTCTGAGTATGTCTATCCAGTGTCATGGGGTGTATAGGATCAGAAATATTTTTGGTCTAGGAGCTGGGAAAAATAGAAATAGTATATGCATGATAATAGTCTTCAATAAAATGGTCAATCTTTTCAAAGTTTTTCAAACCTCAAGCAGGTTACTCTTTAGAATTATCTTTCTAGCCAGGCATAGTGTGACACATGTCTGTTAGTCCCAGCTACTCTGGAGCCTGAGGCAGGAGGGTTGTTTGACCCCAGGAATTTGAGTCCAGCCTGGGCAACATAGTGAGACCCTGTCTCTTAAAGAAAATGGTATTCCTTAAGCATTCTGAAGAGCTAGTGTATCAATGCTTGGTCAAAAAGAAATGGTGTCCTCTTGGGGATTTTGTCCTTTTCAGTAATATGGGAACATGGTCTATCGGTCCTTCATTTGAACCATACACTTTCCCTTTGCTTTCACAGAGACATTGCAGACTTGCTAATTAAAGGGAATGTCTTACTTGCAGGGTGGCCAAGAAAAATGTCTTGTTATTGATTGTACTTGAAAACTCTATGCAGTGGCTATTAGTTTAGTTGTATACTTGTGAAATCTATTTAACTGTCTTAGGATGTTACACTGAAAATACTTACTTAAATTATTTCAGAATATGGTCTTCGATTGGCAAGCCATATATTTGTTAAGGAAATTTCACAAGATAGTTTGGCAGCAAGAGATGGCAATATTCAAGAAGGTGATGTTGTATTGAAGGTACAGTCATATTCTTACTTTTTAATGAACTGAAATAGAAAACAAGTTCTAGAGTTACCATGTAGTCTGTGCTGTTGTTTGAAGCAGTTTTGCCAAAGAGAATTAAAAATCCATGTTTGCGGGAGAGGGATGTAAATTCCCTTTATGCATTATTACATGTCGACACCAATACTTTAGGTATCACGGGGTCATCCTGAGATAATTATTCACCAGCCGGTACTACTTCGTAGATAAGATATGTCTGTTCTTACACATTAAAAAATTCTGATAATTGCTTCCAGATATTATTGAAATGCTTATTTGTTTGTTTATAAGTAGTAGAAAGTGACAGCCGTTTGAGAAGGAGTTAGGGGATGCTACTTTGGGTTTTTCTGACAGCAACAGTACAGTAAAGATTTTATCATCTCAGGAAGGTGGAATACTTTTGATAATTTGGAAAAGTATAAAGAGAGTATTTTGGGTCTTACAGCAAGGAGTGGTTTGGATATTTCTGTTTATAACAAACCAAGTTAACATTTGTATTTTATCATTTACTTGAAACCTATAATTTATTTTCTGTTGCAGATAAATGGTACTGTGACAGAAAATATGTCATTGACAGATGCAAAGACATTGATAGAAAGGTCTAAAGGCAAATTAAAAATGGTAGTTCAGAGAGATGAACGGGCTACGCTGTTGAACGTCCCTGATCTGTCTGACAGCATCCACTCTGCTAATGCCTCTGAGAGAGACGGTGAGTGTGACTCTGTTTCAAGGCCCCCTCTAAGTGACCTATTTTCTTAAAAACACTAGGGAGACTGGACATCTTTGAAAGAAATGATAATTTTCTACCAGCCAAACACCTTGAAAATCTAAAAGTTTTATATATATTTTTTCCTGTAGACAACTCACCACTATTGATTTGATTGCTGGCTGATGAAATTAATGCATAAATTTTCCATTTTATATATAATTTTACTTACTAGCTTATCTTCATTATTACTGGAGTACTTTATACTTGACTGTAATTATTTTTGTGGGAAAATAAGTAGCACTCTTTTATTAACAGACATTTCAGAAATTCAGTCACTGGCCTCAGATCATTCTGGTCGATCACACGATAGGCCTCCCCGCCGCAGCCGGTCACGATCTCCTGACCAGCGGTCAGAGCCTTCTGATCATTCCAGACACTCTCCACAGCAGCCAAGCAATGGCAGGTAAGACACTGTATTTTTAAAAAAATACAGGGGTTTTGTTTGCTTGATACCAGTATCTAAAATTGCTTACAAATAAAAGATGGATTTCTTTTGATTATTCAAGATTAGATCTGTTTTTCTCAATTTAGACATTTTTTAAATCTAAAATAACTGCAAACTTTTCCTTAAAGGGTCAGATAGTAAACATATTTCAGTCTTCCAGGCCATACAGTTCTTGTCACTGCTCAACTGCAAAAGCAGCCATAGACAGTATGTAGTGAATAGACAGATTATGTTCCCATAAAACTGTATTTACAAAAACGGTTGATCCACAGCTATAGTTTGCCATACTATTGCATTAGAAGATGCTAGCAAGCTTCAGGAATCTACTACTTGGGAAAGTTAACTATAGAAGTCCTTTAATAAACACCTTAACCTGGACTTTTTTCTCTTTTAAAAATACACTAGTGTTGGCTGGGCATGGTGGCTCACACCTGTAATCCCAGCACTTTGGGAGGCCGAGGTGGGCGGATCACTTGAGGCCAGGAGATCGAGACCAGCCTGGCTGACATGGTGAAACTCTGTCTCTACTAAAAATGCAAATATTAGCCAGGCGTGTTGGCACATGCTTGTAATCCCAGCTACTTGCAAGGCTGAGACATGAGAATTGCTTGAACCTGGGAAGCAGCGGTTGCAGTGAGCCAAGATTGCACCACTGCACTCCAGCCTCAGTGACAGAGGGGAACTCGTTCTCAAAAACAAAACAAAACACTAGTGTTTATGCCAGAGGTTCTGGTATAGTGGTAGTATGTGACCTACCTGAGTTTATCTTTCTTTAGAGTCACATGTGCATTTGAGAATCTGAAGAAAATTACGATCCTTCTCTCCAGACAATTTGCATGTGCACATACACGCAGCAATTGCATACGATTTCTGGAGACTCCCAAGGCTCTGTAGGCCACCAACTGACCCATGGTTAACTGCAGTCCACATGAAGATCACTTGAAACATGAGTCCAGGGCTGAAGAGACAGTTTAGAAGAAAAGGGAACCCTTATATGTTGTTGATGGGAATGTAAATTGATACGGCCATTCTGGAAAACAATATGGAGGTTCCTCAAAAAATTAAAACTAGAACTAGCACATGATCCAGCAGTTCCACTTCTGGGTATGTGTCCAAAGGAAGTGACATCACTGTCTCGAAGAGATATCTGCACTCTCATGTTTGTTGCAGCGTTATTCACTATAGCCAAGGTATGGAGTCAACCTAAATGTCCAACACATGAATTGATAAAGAAAATGTGGTGTATGTGTTCACACACACAGTGAAATATAATTCAGCCTTTTAAAAGAAGGAAATCTGCCGTTTGGAACAACATGGATGAAGCTAGAGGGCATTGTGCTAAGCGAAATGAACCAGACACAGAGAGACAAACACTGCATGCCCTCACTTACTGTGGAACCTGAACAAGTTGGACTCAGAAGCAGACAGTAGAATACCAGGGATTGGGGTGGGGAGGAATGGGGAGATGTTGGTTAAAGGGTACTACACAGTTTCAGTTATAAGATGAGTAAGTTCTGGAGACCTAATTTACAGTGTGGTATCAAGAGTAATAATGTATATGAGAGTAGATCTTACGGTATTCTTTTGACACATTAAGAAAAGTAACTGTGAGGCATGGATATGTTAATTAACTTGGTTGCAGTCATCATCTGAATATGTATATCAAAACATCACTGTTGTACACCTTTAATGGATATAATGTTTATTTGTCAGACCTCAGTAAAGCTGGAAAGAAAATTTGGTCATCTCTTCTAGATCTGAAGAGAAGATTTTGGACTCGAGATGCTGAATTGAGACTTCACTTGCATAGAGGTGTTAGCAGAAGCCATAGAAGTCACTAAAATTGCTAAGAGACACAATTTGGAAAGGAGTCAGAGAACTGGGTAACAGGGAGCACGTTCTTTTAGGAAGTTGAAGAGGCAAGGGAGAAGTAAGAGAAGGGAGGCATACCTAGCCAGGAGAGAGCCTTTTTAAAGTTTGTAAAAAACCATAGTGACACGGTAGTTAAAACTGTATATTCACAAAAGTGTTTCACATTCTACTAAAATGGGAACTAGTAAGAGAAGAGGATAACTTGTAAGAGCTATGAATGTGGTTGCTAATTCGTATCCACTGTAGTTTTTATGTATTTGTGAAGCCGATTATTTCTAAATTTCAAACTTAGATTTATAAATTGTAAGAACCCTGGTGTTTATTTTAAGGATGTAATGATTTTTTAAAGGAATATTATGGCATGTTACGTGTAAAGTTGGCTTATAACTGATGATGATTTTTAATTGCTGCAATTAATATATTCTAAAAATCTTCCTGGCACAGCATAGATGTTATCAGGAAAAGGATTACTGCCGCAACACAAATACACACAGTGATATAGCACCTTTGATGATTCATGGGAGCAGCTGTAATTTTAACATCCCTTCTCAGCTAGAAACCGTACTTAAGTAATTTGGACATGATTTCCCCTTTTAAATAGAGCAGTCTTAAAATCTCAAATGTTTGGCCATTAGTTTACATTGTAAACAAATTCTAAATCTTAGAAAATTCTTTCTGATATCTACTTTCTTCATTTAGAGTTCCTTAACACGTAGAATCTGTAACCTTAACTTAAAAGTTGAGGAGTTTTTTTCCCCCTAAAATTACTATTTTTGTATTATATTGTGATGTTTTATTTCTCCTAGGAATCTTAAGTGTTCTCATGTGTAGCACCAGTAATATGGGGACTTTTAAGAATACAAACTTGTGGGGCTTGCTTTCAGTTCATCTGAGATGGAGGCAGGCAGTACATTTGACCCTCGAACAATCCGGGGGTTAGGGGGACCAGAAAGAACTTCCCTCCTACCCTGACACGCAGTCAGAAACCCGGGAGTTAGGGGGACCAGAACCTCCCTCCTACCCTGACACGCAGTCAGAAACCCGGGAGTTAGGGGGACCAGAACCTCCTCCTACCCTGACACGCCATCAGAAACCCGCCTGTGATTTTTAACTACCCAGAAACTTAACTATTAACAGCCTACTGTTGACTGGAAGCTTACTGAGAACATAAACGGTACAAAGTTTGTAGGTTAGATGTATTATATACAGTATTCTTAAAGTAAGCTAAAGAAAAAGTGTTAATAAGAAAACCATAAGGAAGAGAAAATACATTTACTGTTCATTAAGTGGAAGTGGATCATCGTAAAGGTCTTCATCCTCAATTTCCTTCACCCTTCATTTCCTTCATCCTTGTTTTCACATTTAGTTGTCTGAGGAATGGGTTGGTCTTTCTGTATCATGGTGGCAGAAGTAAAAGAAAATTTGCGTATAAATGGACCCACGCAGTTCAGTCCCATGTTCTTCAAGGGTCAGCTGTATGTTTTTTTTTTAAGCTCAGGGTATTGTAGCAGGACAAGCCGCAGACAGAACGCCTCAGACACCGAGTTAAATAAGGAGGGGGTTTATTTGGCCAGGGGCATCAGCAAGACTCCTGTCTCAAGAGCCGAGCCCCCCAAGTGAGCAATTCCTGTCCCTTTTAAGGGCTCACAACTCTAAGGGAGTGCATGTGAGGGGATTGTGATCGATTGAGCAAGCAGGGGGTACGTGACTGGGGGCTGCATGCACCAGTAATTAGATCGGAACAAAACAAGATGGGGATTTTCACAGTGCATTTCTATACAATGTCTGTAATCTATAGATAACAGAACCGATTAGGTCAGGGGTCGATCTTTAACTACCAGGCCCAGGGTGCGGTGCCGGACTGTCTGCCTGTGGGTTTCATTTCTGCCTTTTAGTTTTTACTTCTTTCTTTGGCGGCAGAAATTGGGCATAAGATGATATGAGGGGTGGTCTCCTCCCTTATTCCCCCCTGTTGAGACTCTCACTCATTTTATTAGTGGGGGTTCTCACTTTCATTTTCACTACCCATGTGTTTCTGCAAGATAGATCGATAGTGATTCATATAGTACACTTGTGCTGAAGCATTTTGGTGAACTAAGGTAACGACGAAGCTTTTTATCATTTGAAGAAGTACAGGTAGCAAACAAGGGAGCAGTAGGCAGGTTCCTATTATTATTATAACTCCTATTATAAGAATTTTAAATCCTCCTAGTGCTGGGAACCATTTTCCAAACATGGCCCCAGGATCAAATTCATGCCACACTTGCACAGGCACATGTGCCAGTTTGTCATATCTCTAACTGTGTCTTCAACTACTTGCCCTTGATCATCTATTTGTAGACAGCAATTAGTAAGGTTAAATTTCCCACAGACTCCTCCTTTAGCTGCTAGCAAGTAGTCGAGAGCCAATCTATTTTGATAGATAGCATTTCTAATCTGAGTTTCTTGCTGGGCCAGAATAGTCAAGGCTCTGCCGGTTTTATTAGTGATTATTTCTAAGGCAGCTTATAATCGTATGATTCGGTTGATCATGTAAATGGGGGTCCGGTATCCCCACGAGCCATCTTGTGCCCAAGTAGCAGGCCCATAATATTGTATGATTCTCTCAGGGGGCCATTCATCATCTTTCCAATTTCCTATAGCTATGCTTCTCTTTTTGCAGGAAGCGTAGACAGGGAAACCCAGGAGTTCACCTGTTTTTATGGGCAGTAGGAAGAAAGATGGTTTAATAGTGCCAATAACACAACTACCTGCCCACTGGTCAGGTAATTTGGCATAAGCTCTATGCCCACATATCCAGTATAATCCAGTGGGGGCTGTCCAGTCCCGGTGGGACTCCGCGTGGGTCCACACGGTTTTGCAACTTTGGGAACTTACTAAATGGATTCCTCTCTGTTTGATTTGAACTCCACCAAGTGACTGTTTTTGTGGTACCATTATACAGTTTCTGTCCCAGACAACTAAATCGTCCTACGGGGTGAGTGAATTCTTTTCCTTCACTAGCTATGCAATGTTGTCCAATAATTGAGGCTTTTAGGACCGAGAAATTATCAGTGTGATTCTTTTGAGCTGGGAATTCATCAGGA